TTGTCATGCAGGCAAATTCTTTAATAGTTATTTAGATAAGAAAAGTTTGGGAACTTCTGAAAATATTCAATTTTTCTATTAATCTTTCTTGACACTTTGTGGTGCACAGAGAGCAGGTGAGGTTTTTATTTAAAAACTTGAATAAAGTTTATCAAATTAAAAATATTTTGGAGATAGCTCATGTTTGCTGTTGGGCATTTTGTTTAGATGATAATGTAAGTTTGATAAAATAGAATTTGCATCAATCATTGATTTTTTAAAAGAACAAATGTTTATCGAACAAGTGTTTAAAGTCATAAGGCTATTATGCTTTTTATATTCATTCAAACTAATGGAAATGTATGTATATACCTTTGCTGTCCTTTTCACCATTCTTATTTTCCTTTAATTTTCTCCATTATTAAGAATGTAGTAAGTGTGTATATTCTCAACCAGTCATATATTCATCACTTATGGACACGTTATTAAGAGTAATTTGTAAAAATTAATTATTGTGTGAGGTGTTTATTTTAGAATGAATCAGTTTGTTTCAGCCATTAATGTTACTGTTAATTGATTCCCAACCAAGTTATATTTTATATAAAAGCATTTTAAAAGAATCAAGCATAGGTGGTCAAGTGGACCTCTTATATTTATAGAATTTTCTCTGTGTCTATTACTTGCAATCAAAATATACCAGTATGATGTGATGACAACAGTTTCTGGTTCACACCACGTGTTATTTCAGCCTTGGGCACCATTACTCAGTACCTTCCAAATGAATAGTCACAAATAAAACCCTTTTTGCTAGGTGACTCATATAACATTACCCACTGATTTTTACTGGGGGTTTTTTTTCCCTTAAATCAGCATTATCAAAAACAAGGTCACAAAATCTGGCCACGGTTTTTTAGGGTATGGTTGGCTTCTGTGCTTGAGACACTAAAACACCATTGAAAAGTTACTAAATAGGGATTTCAAAAATTCATTGCTAGTGAACTGAGTGAATAGAAAATCCTGGACCCTGAAATGCTGATTGTCAGGCTGTCAGCTAGTTGGAGGCATAGCTAATTCTCTTGTAGAAAGAGATCTTCACATTTTTTTTCCAGTTGACTGAGGGGGAGTAAACGCTAAATGAAGAGAACAAGACCCAGAGGAATGAAAATTGTTTGAGGATGATTTATCAAGAATTTTAAACTTACTGTATTTCAAATTATGCAAAAGATGGTATTTTACCATCTCTTTGGGTTCAGATACTTCACTTGTCTGATTACAGATAAAGCACTAAGAGAGAATTGTTCTTATGAAGGCCAGGAAGAATGGGTCTGAATTGAATAGCACAGCTTCCTAAGTTTTTAGAAAGTGGAAGTTTAAAAAAAAAAAATGCAGTGGAGTTATGTTTCCTATATAGAGGCAAGCCCAAAGCAAAGTGCATAGAAACAAACTAGAGAGACCACATGTAGGAATTTACCTCCGGTAACAATGTAGAGTCTATGTAGTTGCCAAAACTTCCCAGTTAACTGTGGCTTATTCCTTCAGCATGTGTAAGTCAGGTATCTGAGCCATGGGACCTTGAGCAGGGGCACAGACACGTCTTATTTTCTCTTCTAGGCATGTGCTCAAACTCAAATGGCAGCTGGATAGGTACAAATATTTGGTCAAAAACCAGCCTCCTGAGTTATTATCCTTTTGCACACATAAAAATAAGAAGTTAATGTTACCTTTGATTGTCTCCGTTAAGCAGGATAAGGGGGGAAATTCAGCTACTTTGCAGATGTTAATGCAGGTACAAATAATGCAGTGCACCTAGAATGATAGGTGCTAAAATTAAAATTGTATTTTCAAAACAAAAGAGTATGCTGAAAAATATGGGGCAATTGGAAAGCACTTGGTAAACTATGCTGAAGTATAAATTCCAATTTACTTCTGGAACTCTTGGTTAATAAAACCAAATTGAATCTTAGATTTTCTCAATATTTATTGAGTACTTACTATGTGCCAAACACCATGCCCGAAACTGCTTACACATCAATGAAATCTTAGAAAGTTTTCAGAAAATTACAGATAAGTGATTTATATGTAATCAAGTTGACCATATGTCCTGATTTGCCGGGCATGGATGGTTCCACTTTGCATCTCTTGTCCTGGCCTGTCCCAGTTTGAATGGTGCATTATATAGTCTCTTCCAGATTTAATGCAGCAAAACCACTGCCATCATTAAGAAACTTACTAAATCTTAGTCTTTTTTTTTTTAATTTTTATTTATTTATGATAGTCACACAGAGAGAGAGAGGCAGAGACACAGGCAGAGGGAGAAGCAGGCTCCATGCACCGGGAGCCCGACGTGGGATTCGATCCCGGGTCTCCAGGATCGCGCCCTGGGCCAAAGGCAGGCGCCAAACCGCTGCGCCACCCAGGGATCCCTCTAAATCTTAGTCTTTAGTATCCTTGCTTATCCCACATTGTGGTCCTTGGTCAGCATTTATAAAGTCACGTCCCTAAAGAACTTTTCTTATTCATCCTTTATTCAAATAATTCAGCTATTTGTACAAATTGGTATAATGTGTTTCTAGCATTTTTCTGGGGCAAAAGTAGAGCATTTGAGTTTTGTGGGAGAGACTGTGGTATTTTTCATTCAAAGAAACCTGATGATGAAGCTAGAGCACATGGGGACTACGGGCCAGCTTGGAGTGTTTGATTTTTACCAGGAAGAATATTGCATATCTGAATTGCTACCTACTGTACTTAAGTAGTAAGTCAGGAAAAATTGGTGATAGGAGGGAACATAGTATGTTTATAAATAAATAGTTTACCTTTAAACAAAAATGACAGAGAATGCATGAATATTACAGTGTAAAAACTGTATTTGAGATTTCTTAACCCTTTCTCTGTTTCTTTGAAAGTTAGTTTTTCTTTACATGTTAATTTTGTAAATTTCTTTTTATGTAGAGTACTTTTAAATTCATATTTCTTATTTCTTAAATGTCCATGGTCTCAACTTTTACTTGGCAATAAGAGTGTTGCCCCGTAACTCAGATATTTACCTTATTAATATTCTAGTTTTCTCCATATGTTAGTCATGATTCCTTTCATAGGGTGCTTCAGTAAGCAAAGGAAGAGTGACGAGTTTGAAAAGATCTGTCTTTCTGCACCCATGTGCAGCTGTCACATACACATCTTGTTTCCCTCTAAGACAAAACACAGTGTGAGAATTGTAAACTACTTATGGATCTCAAGGATTTTGACTCACATATAAATAATTCATTTTTCTTCCTTTCTGTAAAAATGATAATATGCAAATATTTGTCCCCACAAAACGATATGCTATGTTTCAGAGACCACTGATTGAGGAGTGGCATTTTAAGATGTGATTGACCTAAGGACTCCTTGGCAGTGTTTGGAAGATCAAAAGCCTTTCAAATATTCTGGGGGAAATAGTTGTAGTTTCCGGATGGCCACACTGCCATGGAATGAGTTCTCATGGAAGGAGTTGGGGCTCTTTCCCTTAGACCCAAGTAAATCAGACATAATTGCACTTAGGTTAATCAGCTAAAGGCTGAGAGTATCTTTATGATACCCTATTGTGGAAATTTGGATTCTTGTTGAAGCTATTATATGCACTCTCAGAAACTTGCATTTGGCCCATGTATGGATGGACAGTCACCTTAAGAAATGCACTCGACTGATTTTATATGAAGATCAGAGAAAGGAGTTTACTATATAATGTATACATTTGGTCTGGGTATTTCAGTAACAAGTCTTACTAGAGATTCCTCTCTCCATTTTTTATTAGAGTGAGTTTTAGAGGCTGTATGTCACTAAAGGATAAGCACTACACGAGGATTTAAATATTTCCATTTTCAATATTACATATGGAGACATCTTGTCATAACGGCAAGAAACCCTGGCTAAGTTCAGATAATGGCTTTGCCAGGTCTAGCTCAATGAGCTTGCTAAGCAGCTTAAGCTCGTTAAGCCTGGCTTTTCTCTGAAGAAAAATGAGTAGGGCTGATCCTCCCTCTTTGCAGAGTTCTTGTGAGAAAATGGGAGTAAGAACAAGAAGCCCAATCTCTGGTGTAGAATAGATATTTAATAATTGTTGTTTTCACCCTTTAAAATTAATTGTTTTCTCTCTGTTAGAAAAGTCTACACTACTTTCCAAGCACATTAAATGCTTTTATATAATTTAACACTTTTGAAAAACGAGGACATCTATTCTATAAAACAATAGTAAAATATTTTGGAATAAACCCCATTCTTTATAATTACTAAGTCCTATAAAAGACCAGGGATGGTTGGAAGCTGGACCTCTTTTTGTGATGATTATCACAAGCTTCCATGAAATAGCTTCTGGCATCATAACATAAAACACATACAGCTGCTCTTATGTATTTTTTAAAGGGCAACACATGCATTAAACGAAGACTTGGTGAGCAGATTTTAATTGGTTTATTTTGTACTTCATTAGAATTATATTTGTTATTGTAAATTTTTATCGATTGTATTCTAATTGAAGATTAGTCATGGGAGATACCAAATTCATCTCGACTACATGATTAAATAGATAATTTTAGGTCACTATGAAGAAACTTCATTAAAAAGTCATGAAATTTGTATATACTACATATTCTCTTTCTTTTATGGGAACAGAATGGTACAGCTCTGTGCTTTCAGATTTCACCCTTAGAGACTTATTGAGCCTTTCAGTCTAGAGGGGCATTTCTATGCAGGGAAAGCTATCTCAGAGCCTCTCTCATAAGTAGACCACTGATTATTTTGGTTTGTATTTATGTCTGTGTTATTGTTGGAAACATCTATAGTCTTAGGGAGAAATAACTTTAATAGTCTCTACACACATAGAAAATTGATGAGAAGTTATATTTAATGCAGCTTGGAAATCTCCAAGGTGTGTAAATCATCTAATAGGATTTAGTGTCATGGGTCATCCGGGTAATTAGCCAGGAGTGCAAATCAAGTTCTTGCTGTTATGATCAAGAGTCCACTTTGGCTTTGTTTTCCAGGGGCCACCAGGGGACCAGGCTGCTCTCTTTGCTGCACAAGCTCGGCCCTCCCCTCAGCTCCCCCAGTATCCAGGGCTGCAGCAAGCACAGGTACCTGCATTTGCTTTGCTTTGTAGATGCTGCTGGGTTTTTGTTGTTGTTATTTTAAGATGTTAATTATTTATTCATGAGAGATGCACAGAGAGAGCCAGAGACACAGACAGAGGGAGAAGCAGGCTCCCTGCAGGGAGCCCCCTGTAGAACGGGATTCCCAGGACCCTGGGATCACAACGTGAGCCAAAGGCAGCTGTTCAACCATGGAACCACCCAGGTGCCCCCCCCCCTTTTTTTTTTGCTGCTGGGATTTTTAACGTTCCTTAATTAAAGTGGGCAACTAAGTAAATGGGATATTTGCTCCTTATGGGGTCTAGAACATACTCAGTACCTCTACTTATAGATTATAATTGACATCTCAAAAAAAGCATTACCGATGATGAACAAGCCTTAAGATTCACTAATTTAAAGAGCATAAAACATTTCAGAAAGCTCTTGAATTAAAAATACAAATAAGCTCTCTACTGATGATGATGGTAAGTATTGAAATGCTTCACAGTCCCAGAGTATTTGTTATAATGAATAACAATGTAATTCATGATCGAACTTATCATATTAAAAGACAGGATTGAAGAGGAATCATGCTAGAATAAGAAGGTTAATTGGCCTTGGAATCAGACCATGTCTCAATTCCTGGCAATTTACTAGCTGTGTTAGCATTGCGCGAGTTATTCTGGGTCTTGGTTTCCTTCTTTGTAAAATAGAGATGAGCAACGTGAGGACGGAAGACATCCTGTGGAGCCAGCATCATGCATCACGCCAGACCCGTAGTAGCCGCTCGGCAAACGATAGACTTGCCTTAATATAATGCAACTCTTGAGCTGTTTTTTCTAATGATTTTGTTGTTTCTGCATCTTTATACTTTTACTCTGTCCCTCTCATAATGAGGAGCCCGGAGATGGTGGCAAGAGTGCTAGAGGGCCTAACAGTTTGCACTGTGCCTACAGCTAAAAGGCAATCTGCGATTGGCTCTCACAGGCACTGAGCCCCACAGCTGGATCCACGCATGCTGCTGGCTGGAAGTTTATTATGCGTTACTCTGGCTTCGAAGTCAGAGCCATTAAACCACCTTAGAATGTGGTTCTTTGCGGATTGAAGAGCAGGCCTCTTCTATTTAAATCAGTATTCCATTCTATAAGTTGCAGATAGTCACTCAGTAGAACTTCAGGTTTTTCATTTACATTAGGTGTCAGGGTTTAGGGGGAATAGGCAGTCATATTAATATTGAATAGAAAAATTAAATAATCAAGAGTATTGGTAGAGTGCTGAAAAGGGCTATAGTCCAACCAGGACTAGAGGGTATCAAATAGTCCCCAGTTACACCCTTACTTTCCAGTTAAGGTATTATTTTTTGGTGTGGTGGGGCTTTTTTTGTTTTGTTGGTGTGAGTTGTTTTTTTCTTTCTTTTTTCTTTTTTAAATAACTGGTTAGTTACTACAGGCAAATTCATCAGATCCAAAGTGTAGGTATAGTCATATATCCGGAAAGTATACTCCATCATTTTAATTTACGTTGGACATAGGTAGCTTTTCTTTCTAATTTTGGAAATGACATTAATGGTGCTTTGGATCTGTTGAACATCGATGTCATCTGTGCGCTTAAGGTATAGATGCTTGCCTGATTAGTTCTATACAGAAACCTGTCTTTCCTTCCCTCAAAGTACTCAACTTATTCTAAAACTGATCCCTTAACCAAGTGAGGATTCATGGTTGTTTGTTTCTTTGTTATATTAATATATTAAGGGAGAGTGAACGAGTGGGAGGGGCGAAGGGGGAGAGGGAGAGAGAATCCCAAGCAGACTCCATGCTGAGTGGGGAGCCCATTGCAGGGCTCAGTCTCACAACCCTGAGATGGTGACCTGAGCTGAAACCAAGAGTTGAATGCTTGGGACCCCTGGGTGGGTCAGCCGTTGAGCACCTGCCTTTGCTCAGGGCGTGATCCTGGGATCTAGGATTGATTCCCACATCAGGCTCCCTGCAGGGAGCCTGCTTCTTCCTCTGCCTGTGTCTCTGTCTGCCCACCCCCCCCCATGAATAAATAAATAAAATCTTTTTTTTTTTTTTATAAATAAAATCTTAAAAGAAAAAAAAGAGTTGGGTGCTCAATTGACTGTGCCATGCAGGTGCCCCATGTTTTTTTTTTTTAATGGAAATTTCTGATGCATCCTTATCTAGATAGTTCATCCTTATCTAGATAGCTTTCACACTAGCCTTTTGCCTCCAGAATAGTCCTCCTCCTATGTTGACTTTTAAGAGCCTCGGGGGAACCGCGACTTTCAAAGAGCACCTCCTGGCTTTGTTTTTGCCCCATATAGCTTAGTGATAGCAAAGTTGGTGGTAAATTGAAACATTGACTTCTTGTGCCCTCCTGCAGACCATGCCCCAGGGCTATACGATGTATGGAACGCAGATGCCTTTGCAGCAGACCCCACAGCAGCAGGCTGGTGGCGTGGTCTTGTCTCCTAACTATAACTCCAGAACGTATCCAGCCACACATTCCAACCCGGCGCTAATGGAAAGACTCAGACAGATGCAGCAGCAGCCCAGTGGCTATGTTCAGCAGCAGGCATCGCCATACCTGCAGCCCCTGACTGGCTCTCAGAGGTGATACATGTGGAAATAATGATTGTAATAGTAGATGCTCAAAGCCTTGTCTTTGTTCTGCATTGTCTAGGGCATGGTGCTTTAATAATCACTTTTATAAGCTTGCATATTTGCATATAATTTGCATTGTGTCATCTCATTTTTAGTAACATCCAGATAGGGGATCAAAATAAGCAATGCCCAAAAAAAAAAAAAAAAAAAAAAAAAAAACAAAATAAGCAATGCCCTATCTTGCTTATTTCATTTAAGGCTCCTGTAATTAAACTAACATCTGCCATAGTATGAGTGCAATATTTTAGATGCAGTATGTTAGCTCCAGTGTTTTCCGCTCTTTTAAAAAGATTTTTGACTAAAAATATCTTAATATGAAAAAATTACTGGTTACTGTCAGCAATGTCTTACTAGAATATTTGGACTGGAGCCATAAAGTCTGTCATTGTTAATACTCAGTGTGCGTGGTGCACATAAGAGTTTTGCTGTATTTTAGTTTCCACCTTTTCTGCTTTCAGGTATGGTTGGCAAAAGAGGATCATGAAAGATTCTTTCTCAGTTCTTGCTGTAATTGAATCTCATAGACATGATGTATGGTTACCACCAGGCACATGTGTCTACTTAAATTAGAGATTAATCAAGATTAAATTAAAAATTGTGTTTGTCAGTCACACTAGTCACATTTTGAGTGTTTAGTAACCATGTGCAGCCAAGCAGAGCCCACTTTGAAGATGTGGGACCCGTGCAGTCACACAGTATCCTGTGTTTAGAAGGCTCCTGTGCTTAATTTAATGATATTCTGTCACCATCTTGAAAAACCTACTAGTTTTTGGTCAAGGAGCCTTGCATTTTTGTTTGATACTGGGATCCAGAAATGATATAGCTGGTCTTGGAGGCCAGTAGCTATCTTAATGGACAGCACAGCTGTAGAACATTTTAGGCATTGTAGAAACTTGTGTTGGATAGCATAGGTTTAAAAGAACTAAGTTTCATGCAAAATTTTTAACTATAGCAGACAGCAGCTTAGCTTCCATGTGTTGGCAGTCAGTCGTTGACTGCCTGGCAGGTTGGGATGGTTGATGGTAGCACATTTGGGAAAATAAATAAATTTGGAGAAACATGCATTGTATTATTATTCTAAGTGGAGCATAGCATATTGAACTTGAACTTCAGAGCTCAACAGTTGTGGGGTTAAATCCCACCTGTGCTCTTTACTGGCTAACTTTGGAAAGTCACTTCTCCAGCTCTCTGTTTTCTCATTTTTAAAATAGGAATAACAAAATGCAAATCAAAACCACAATGAGCTATCCCCTCTCATCAGTAAGAATGGCTAATATCAAAAAGACAAGAAACAACAAGTGTTGGCAAGGAGGTAGAGAAAAAGGGAACACTTGTGGCCTGGTGGTAATGATGTAAATTGGTGCAGCTGCTATGGAAAACAGTGTGGAGCTTCAGAAAGGAAGGAAGGAAGGAAGGAAGGAAGGAAGGAAGGAAGGAAGGAAGGAAGGAAGGAAGGAAGGAAGGAAGGAAGGAAGGAAGGAAGGAAAGAAGAAGAAAGAAGAAGAAGAAGAAAGAGAGGAAGAAGAAAGAAGAAAGAAAGAAAGAGAAAGAGGAAGGAAGGAAGAAGGAAGAAGAAGGAAGGAAGGAAGGAGGAGAAAGAAAGAAAGAAAAGAAAGAAAGAGAAGGAAGAAGGAAAGAAAAAAGAAAGAAAGAAGAAAGAAAGAAAGAAAGAAAGAAAGAAAGACCATACCATCTAGTAATTCCACTACTGGATATTCCAAAGAAAACAGAAACACTAATTCAAAGTCAATTGCAGCATTATTTACAATAGCCAAGCTATGGTAGCAGCCCAAGTGTCCATCAAAAGATGAATGGATGATAGAAAAAGAAGATGCCCTTAATATATAGAATGGGTATTACTCAGCCATGAAAAGAATGATTTCTCACCATTCATGATCATGCAAATAGAGCTAGAAAGTGTAACGCTAATTGAAGTAAGGCAGTCAGAGAAAGATACCATAAGATTCCACTTAAGATGTGGACTCTAAGAAAACAAATAAAAAGCAGAAACATACTAAGACCTACAGAGAACAAACTGGTGGTTGCCAAAGGGAAAAGAACAAAGAGAGGGGCAAAATAAGTGAGGGGATTGTGAGGTACAGATTTCTAGTTATAAAATAAGTTAGAGGGATGAAAACGTGTAGCATAGGGAGTATAGTTCAGGACTATTGGGATAACCTTGCAGGGTACACGTGGTAGCTCTCCTTCCGTGGTGAGCATTTCATAATGGATTGCTGAATCTCACCCGCTCATGTTTAACTGCAGGCCATGCAATGTGAATGCAGAATTTCTTATATGTGTTTGAAAAAAAAAATGAGCTGTTTCTCATTTCTAAATCACTGTCCAAAATATAAATGTTGACTATCTTTCAATTAAAAGTCTTAAATAAATAAAATGGGGATAATAAAACTGCCTACCTCAGAGGATTCCCATGGGGAGTAAATGTAATAATACTTTTCAGACTCTTATTAAAACTGTGCCTTCTCCAGAACAAATGCTCAAGTAGTGTCACTTATTGTTTAAAAACTACTAAAATATTTTTTAAAAGTAATTTAAACATGATTGCAATTTTTACCTTGTATTGAGCACGCTTGCTGTCCTTTGTCCACTGATTCCATCTCTCCCTGGGAACCTAGATTATCTTTAATCACTGGTCTCTCGCATGTGAATTTTGTACAGCTGAATACTGAACACGGTTTTGGTTTGTGTGTGTGTGTGTATGAGCGCGCGTGTGTGTGTGTGTGTGTGTGTGTGAACATAATGTGCCTGTGGCACTGATTAAAAATATGCCAGCTTGCCTGGGTGTGAAACCAAGTTGTTATTTTTTTTTTTTTTTTTTTAACCAGACTGAATCATCAGTCCCTTCAGCAGAGCCCTCTGGTAGGTGGAGGAATCGATGCGGTGCTGACTTCCTACGCATCCCAGCCTTCCGTCGGTGCCCCTGCCTCAGGACCCAATGAGACCCAGGCAGCCGCAGGTTCGACAGCAGCAGAGGCTCCTCCAGGTCTGTGGCTGGGGGTGAGGGCAGCGCAGGAGGGGGGGTCTCAGCAGTCCTAAGAAATAAGAGGCTCTCAGGCTTTCATTACCAAGTTCTCAGGAACCCCCAGCATGGTTGACACTAGGAGTTCAGCCGGTGAAATTTAGTTCCGACTTGGCCAGAGTCTTCTTTCTCGGTGCTTTTCCCAGGTCATGGGCAGGAGGATGCATTATGCAGAATGTCTTTCCCCTTTGACAGAGGTTCGAGAGAGGGTAACTGGCTGCCTTTGTCTTAATAGTGTAAACATCAGCTCACCCACTCACTCTTTAACTACAGGCCATGCAATTTGAATGCAAAATTTCTTACATGTGTTTGAAAACAAACAGAAGCAAGATTGAGCTGTCCACAGCTTGCGTCAGATTCCCAGAGAGCTCTGTCTACAACCCAAAACAGTATCTCTGACACTTCTGGTCCCATTTAAGCTGTGAAGTTGGAGTGAGATGGGTGGGATATTTCATAGTGTCTCCATTTATTTGATGTAAATATTTAAGTGCCTTAGACAAAGGATTCCTCCTCTGGACGCATTTCTACTTCTAACTTACTCATTTAGGGAATATAGGCTATTTATGTTTACCTGTTGACATTTGTTAAGTTCATTATTAGCAAGTTTGTCCTATGTTATTTGTTTGGATATTGTCTGATAAGTCTGTATGGTGGACTCTTCTCAGTAATTCACCTTGAGATGCACTGTCATTTTATGTGTTACTAAGAAAGAAAGAAACCACCACCAAAAATGGGGAGTCTAGTAGAACTAGGGTATCCAATATACCCTTGGAATGAGTTCAATAAACCTGTCCTGCATAAAGGGACAGTAAAGTAACTTGCATGTCTCAACCTTGACCCTGGTTGGAGGGAAGAAAAAATATCTTGTCTCATTATTTGAACCACAAGTTCAAGTGGGTTTGAAATCTGAATTCAGTGTGATCCCCAAAATTCTAGTTGACAGTACCTCCAGGATAGGCATAAGCCAACACAAATCCTCCAAAAAAAAAAAAAAAAAGTTCTGTAATGATTAAATGTCATTAGTTCTAAGATGTCATTAGTTGCACCTCAGTTGTTACCTGTTAAATGGTGAAAAAAAAGGTTATATCACAAAATTGATAACATAGTAATTGGTTTAGGGGAAGTGTAGCCTACAAATGCTCAGTCTCACTGTATAGTTGTTATCTCCAGCATGGTAAGAACCCCTGTCATCCCTAGTTTAGTCATAAGTAAATGTAAATAATTATAGCACCTACCTCTTAAATGTTTAGTAAGAGTTCAATAAGAAAATAAAGTAAATCACTCATTTGGTAATATTAAGAATAATTATAATGATATTTTCATAAGTAATTTTATCTCAGATTCTGAGGGTAGTTTCAGAACTTCATAGGACTGATATTTATATTTCCCTCTGCTTTAAATTACTCATTTCCAAACCACAGAGGAAAGTTATTACATTAGTTATTTACTACTTCCTGTCTTCTATTGCTTTTCAAGGCTGTACATTTTGAAAGTGTTTTTTTTCCTCTGGTTTGTTTTTTAATAAGTACTTGTTTTTCTTTTTTTAATTCCGAGTAGCGTAATATGCCCTTCTGGTAATTTTTTTCATTACCACAAATTCCCTGGAGATAAAGGAAAGGGTTTTGCTTTTGCTTAAGGATTATACTTACTCCACTTGATGGGATGAGTACTGGATGTTATATGTTGGCAAATTGAATTCAGATAAAATATTAGAAAGACCAAAAACAACAACAACAAAAAAAGAAAATCTAAACCTTAAAAAAAAAAAAAAGGATTATACTTACTTTTTTCTTTGTGATTGACTACAACCATAAAGGAACAAATTGATAATTAAGAAATTAGGTTGATTTTTCTTAGAAGAATTCACAGAAAACCAAATGAAGATTGGCTTTATATTGCGATCCTTATGGTTCTGGTCCCACTTGCATTGGCCCAGTTGGGAAGGACCCTGCCCAGACCTCTTGCTAGAATTCCATATTCATGAGTATTGGCACCTGTGGGAAATACCATCTGGTAATAGCTATTTATTACCTTGCCTTAAACAAGACAAATAATTTGGGGGATAGTATGCAAACCAGGTTGGAAATGCAGAAGATGAAAAGAAGTCTGGCATTGTCATCATCGAGAGGAAGTTTGTGGGTGGAGGAAATGTTGAAGGTCACTGAGACCAACCACCTATTAATATTTTCCTCTCCTCTGTGTCTCGCATAGTGGATGAGTAGTTTGTATTTCTTCTGTGACTTGGAAGTGTTTACTAAGGGCTCTTTATTTAAGCCAACTCGGTCACTGACATAATTTGTTTTTATGCTGGTAATTTTTGCCAGAACTTCTCACATACACGTTTTACTTAAAAAAAAAAAAATTCTGATCTTCAAGAATTACTCCTCTTCTTCTCCCTGTTTTGCTTTCTTTAAGAAGTCTACATTGTTCTTTAAAAAAAAAAAAAAATCTTCAGGAGTTCCTCCAGATGCCATAGGGGCTAAAAAGGTAATTACTTCGTAGTCCGTTTCCAACCTGCTGGTATAAAAGATAGGATAAATTAGATGCAAGAGCAAATAACACGAAAGGTGTTAAAAACACTAAGTATAAAAAGATGTCCCAGGACAGCAGAGGGAGGGCAATATGGACAGTGAACACTGTGACTATGGAAGGAAGAGCTCCTTGGGGTTGTGTGGTCCAAGAAGCCTACAAGGGGACGAGATTTAGGTCCTACCTTGAAAGAAAGATGAATAATGTTTGTCATGACAAAGATGCAGGAGGTAGCTGTTTATCATTTTTGTTCATCAAGGTAATTAGATGCAAGGTATATAGGGGGAGAGAGGAGACTGAGCTGTATTACCCCCTCTGTTTGAGTGTCTAATCCTTTTTTTCCTTGCAGATGCAGCAGCCCCCCCAGCCCCAGCAGACCCCGCAGCCCCAGAGTCAGACCCTTGGTCTCCAAGCGATGCAGCCGCAGCAGCCTTTGGTAAGGCCTGGTGTTTGGGAACCAAACATGTGGGGTTCTTCTTTAAAGGCAGGTTGGATTTTTCATCCCATAAGATCATTTGTTTAAGAATCGAAGTAGCTTAAATATGCCCTCACAAATTTTCCCTAGAACTTGTATCAGAGTAGTATATTTGTTTTCACAGGAAGATATAAATAAATATTTTGGGTTAAGTAGTTACATCATTTTTCCTCTTCAGATTTTTTTTTTCCAGACTTTTTCATGGCCTAAAATATTTATGTTGAAACACTACTTTTCTTCTAAACGTTAAAGTGATAATTTACCTTATCTTTTACAAGATTATCTTTGTGTTTTCACAATAATTTCAAAAAAGCATGAGTGTGCTTTCTAAATATTATCTTTACTGTTATAAAAGAAGCTCTGACTTCAGCCAGTTATTTTCCATAAGAATTTTCATGTAATTTATATAGTCGTGTAATTCTTTAGCTTTGGAAGTCACATTTTGAAAATGTGAAATGCATAGCATCAGTGTTTCCTGAAACCTCAGTAGTTTACACATCCTTTATTTTTGCAACTGCCGTATTATTTACTTAAGCATTTTTCTTCAAATTACCTCGTTTTCTGTTTACTTAAATAAGTATGTCCTAAAAGGAATTTGTATTACTACCATCAATGGTCACATCACCTGCCACATATTGGAAATATCTGTAAAGATAAATATTTATTCCAGAGGTTAACTGAACAACATGAGTTGTGTAGAGTGAGTCCTACCTAACGTGAGCTAGCTTACTACTGCACTTTGGGAAACTCTGGTATAGACTCTTTTTAGGATAGGATTATAAAGATTGAATGGTTTCCCCACTTTTGCACTAAAGAAAGAAGGACAGAGCCAGGGCTGTAGTAGGAGACATCAGATCAGGAGAGCTAGGTGATAAAGAGTGTAGTGGCCAAATAGACTGACGATCGCGTATCAGCGACTGGAATAGGACACCCTGGGGCATTTTACAAGCCTTGGCTAGTTTGAGCCCCATTTTTAAGGAAATTCTTCTTTATCATGAATCTAGTTTTTCTAGCTCCAATTCTTTTTTTTTTTTTTCCTTTTTTTTTTTTAAGGCTTTTATTTATTTATTCATGAGAGAGGCAAAGACACAGGCAGAGGGAGAAGCAGGCTCCATGCAGGGAGCCCGATATGGGAATCTGGGATCACACACACCCTGAGCCAAAGGCAGACGCTCAACCGCTGAGCCACCCAGGCATTCCCCACCCCCTTTTTAAATATATCTGTGACATTTATCGCAATCTATCTTAAAAATCCTTTCTCAGGTAGAGGCAGTATAGGAGCATCCACAGGCAGCCTACATCTTCATCATCAGAGGTGTATTAGCAGGGATTGGCTGACTTACAAATGTAGAACGGTCTCCTTGGGATGGGTTCTGCTACTTCACCCTAGCGTCTCACCCAAGAGCAAGATGTAACTCAAGCTAACAGAAGAATTAAAGAATAATACAAAGAATTATCATAATTTCTTTTTCTAAATTCACTAAAATATTTTGTCACATTTGCTTTATTATTCTTTCTACACACACACACACTGATATGTACATATGAGTAAGTTGCAGACTCATGCCTCTTTAGTCCAAATACCTCACTGTGGTCTTAGGAACAAGGGTACTCTTTTACAAAAACTTGGTGCAATCATTAAAATATTAATCTGACGTGAATACAATACTGCAATCTGTACATCTTTTGCAAATGGTACCAATTGCATCAGTAATTTTCCATTTTGCAGTTGTTTTTTTCTGGTCTAGGATCACACTTTGCTTTCATGTCTTTTTACTTAGCTAGCTTTAATCTGGAACAATTCTGCAGCCCCTTTTTGTCTTTGTTTTTTGGTTTTTGGTTTTTTTTCATGACAGTGACATTTTGAGGTTTGTAGAATTTTTAGAGTGTAACTCAGTTTTTGATTTGTCTGATGTTTCCTAATGATTAGATTCAGATCATGCACTTCTGGCAGGAGTATCATAGAGGTGATGTATCTTTCTCAGGTATCACATTAGGATATACATTATTGGTGTCATTACATCAGTCTTTTTCTTTAGGTGTTATGGTAGATTTCTCCACCATAAGCGTATTGATTTTTCTTTTGTAGCTAATAAATAATTTATGGGGATAACTTGATACAATCTAAGTGTTCTTTTACTCATGGGCCTTTACTCGCTAGTGTTAGCCTTTGTTAAATTAATCTTGCTCCAATTCAGTTTTGCTATGCTGGTGGAGAAATAATGATTAACTAGCTCCAGTATTTTTTCTGTATTTAACGGTTGGTATTCTATTTAAGGAAGGTCTTTCCCTCCTTTCCCTATTTGTCTATCTATGTCTCCCTAAGTTGTATTTTATATATGAAGGCTACCGCTTGACTCTTTTTAAATTTAATTTAATTTAATGTTATTTTATTTATTTTATTTTATTTTTATTTTATTTTATATTTTATTTGGAGAAAGAGAGACACACACACATACACACAGGTGGAGGGGAAGCGGGGAGAGAGGATCTTAAGCAGGCTCCATGCCCAGTGTGGAGCCTGACATCGGCTCGATTTCACAACTCTGAGATCATGATCTCAGCAGAAATCAAGAGTTGGTTGCTTAACTGACTGAGAAAGGCACACCACTGACTCTTATATTTGAAACATTCAGCTACTAGGGTTGAGTTTAGATTCTTTCTCCCACTTCATCCAGTATTCCACTGTCACATTAGGCATCTACCAGGTCACATTAGCCAATTTAGAGATTCACTTTCCACCCAATAGGTTACTCTATCAGGTAGTAAAAAAGCTTAAAGTAGTCCTGTTCTTTTGTTTCTTTATAGAAGAAAACATTCCGGAGATATTTTGACAGAAAACCAAGAAATGAATGATAAAGTATCTGCAGATGATGTCATGTTGAGTGTTTGGGATATTTGATGTTGACATGGCAAAGTTTTAATTAACCTTTTTTCCTTTCTAATTTAAAACAAAGACTTCTTATGCTATAATGCTCACATGAGCAGCAGAGGCTCATGTGAAGAACTGGGAAATAACAGTAATATACCTTTTCAGAGATCCGTGCAAATTCATTAATGAACACTTGATTAATAGTTGTAAGGAACTCATTTATTTAAGAATTGTAACTTCTTTGGTTAGTCATTGCTAATAAGGAAATGATTGCATAGTACCTTGTGTGCCAATAAAGCAAATTTTAAATGTAGAACTGCTTCAGTTCCTTTTAATATATAACAGTATTGTATCGCACGTTTTAAGCTGCTTTTTAATCTTTGATTCCTATGTGTAAATAAACATGAAACATGTACATATAATTGGCTCACAAATAATAAAGTCTTATAATCTGTATTTTTAAATTTATTTCTATTCAGCCACACAGATGCATAACTGCCATCCGCAGACTGTGAATTTACTTTTCAAAAATGTCGGCTTTAACTTGTGGTCACATGTCCTTATAAAACAGTTCGTAATTTCAACCAAAAACATGACTCAATGCCTGCAATTAAGCATCTTTGTCTTTCTCTTTGGCCTTTCATCCACCTATTATTAAATACTATTTTAGTTGGTTTATAATATGACATATAGGAAATACCATAAAATATTAAATGCATAAAATTTTTTTATGCTTAGAGAATTGTGCTATATAAACACAGATGGATATTGATATCAAGTGCCTGAAATGAAATGGTTATTTTGGGTAAGATTTTTAATAAAAAAAAAATTTTTTTTGAAACTATCACAAATTTATAGGGCTGGGGTGGAAATTGTCTTTAAATTTCTTTATTATAATTTGAAGCAGATCAGCTTTTGCACAGTCAAGAATAAGAGACTCTTACCCCATGTTCCACTAGAATGAAAGCATATCTAATGTAAGAGAATTTTATATCTTTCTATTCACCTAATAGTTTCATGAATATTTAATAAAGTAATTATGTGTAAAGAATTTATGTCAAATGTATCCAATTTTGACCTCTACGACAGTTTTCAAGTTTTTAACGTAGTAGGTTATATTTTACTCACTAGCTTAAAACACATCCTAGGGATTGAGCAGATTAGTCAAAACATGGCCCATGATTTTTTCCCACTGTGTTCATAGTAAAGTAATTTCAGAGAAACAAAAAATTTCATTACAACAGTCTTAATGGATAGTAAAATCCACAGTAGGCTTTCTCAAGCCTTTTTGATTTTCTCTTCAGCTGAAGTCTTTTTTAAAAGCTGTTTTGGAAGCATAATGACTTATTTTTATATCTAGACACTGTATTTTAATCTAGACAGCCTGTACAAAGGCAGAAATATTGTGTATATCATAGTCTTAGGATAGGCTAGGAAATTTAAAATATCACTTAGAGGAACAGAATTCAGAATTAGAAGTTAAAGACATAGTCAGTGATCTTGGAATTTTACATTATTGTGATTAGTTCTTTTTTCAGCATACGTTTATTCAGCGTACTTATATGTACTTTTTAAAGTTTATTAACATAACCTACATGTTTGTAATTTTATACAGCTATGAAGTCAGTCAGCTGTTTTCCTCTGCTCTTACTTGCTTAACACCCCACCTACTGCTGAACATTGATATTGTTTCCAATTTCACAAATAATGCTGCTGGGATATTTTAATATATATTCTATTCCTACTTTTTTTCTTTTCTTACAATAAAAGAAAATAGGAGCACAAGAATAAAGTTATCTCTAATTGTTTATCTTCAGAACAGCAATAGCAGCAAACCTCAGCAATGTTAAGAAAAAATTGTCATTCTTATAATTCATTAAAATTTGATATTGTTTCTTTGCTGGAGACCAAGCAGTGAGCTGGCTGTCAGTGAGAAGTCAGCTCTGACTCATTCAGAGCTCTGACTCACATGCAGTCTCAGGGGAGAAGTGGTAGTGGTTGACACAGCCACCACCCTCCCTGTGACTTGCCCAGCTGCTATCTGGTGACATTCACCAGTCAGTTCAGCTAGTGCTTGTTTGTCGTGTAC